TGATGAGGGCAATGAATGTACAAATGTGCTTTACACAATTGATGTATGTATGGATTGTGATAAGAGTTGTATGAGCCCCTAAAAAAACAATATATATTAAAAAAGAACACAATTAGAAGAAGGTACAGGTGGTCCAATATGAAAAAGAAGCCATGGGAAACTGTATGAATAGTAATATAATAATGGCCTAATGTGCCAGCAGATGTGCCTCACAGGTCAGAAGACATTCAAAATACAATTGGAGAAGAATTACTCCTCAGAGTAGAGTCCACCTCATGACATGGATGGATCAAAGCTTTTGGGACCTTCAATTGCTGATCAGGCATGATTCAAAATGAGAAAAAAACATGGCTAATATACATTAGCAATTGGAATGTATACAAAGTATGAATCTAAGGAAATTAGGAATCATCAAAAATTAAAAAGAATGCATAAATATTAGTGTCCTATCATTAGTGAGCTGAAACTGTGTAGTACTGGGCAGACAGTCATATGTTTAGATGAATAGTGTCAAATTCTATGTTAAAAGTCAAGATCTATTTTGAAGTACAATGCTGTGATAAGATAATATCTATACACATACAAGTATGTCCAGTTAGTATAATTATTATTCAAATTTACATACCAAACATTATATCAATTGGTGAAAAAAATGAAATAATTCTACCAAATTCTTCAGTTTGAAATTGATCGACCATGCAAACAGGACTTATTGATAATTACTAAGGATTTTAATGTGCAGGTTGAAAACTACGAGGAAGGTCCAGTAAATGGACAATATGGCCTTCCTTGTTGAAATGAAGCTGGAGATGGCCTGAAAGAAATTTGCAATACTATTGGTTATGGCATTGAAAATAGCTTCTTCACATAAATGGCAACTATAACATAACGTAAATATAACAATTGTGAGGATGGTCCAAGACAGTGTTTGCTTCTGTTGAACATAGGATCCCTATGTGTCAGAACTAACAATGGCATACTGAATTAACAACAACAATTGATGACAATACACATGAACCTCCACTGATGGAATACACAAAAATCAAATTGACTACATCGGTGGGAAAAGACAATGGAGGACCTCAAAATCATTATCCCAAAGCAGGCCAGAGGCCAAAAGTGGAACAGACTATAAGTTACTCATGCACAGTTGCACATAGAAGTTGAAAAAAACTGAAACTTGTCCACGGAAGATCCTACCTGAAATTAGAGACAATTTCAAGAACAAATTGATATACTGAACATTAATGGCCTAAGACCAGATGAGCAGATGCCAGAAAAGATCCTAAAACATATTCTCCAATTCACAGTGGCTAAAGCAAATGTGACAAATGATGACATCACAGAGTTGAAGCGAAAATTTCAAATGACCATTTAAGAAGACAAAATGAGGAATTAAAATGAAATGTAGAAGACCTGGTATTAGAAAACTAAAAGGAAAGACCATGCTCAGTGTAGGGTATCCAGGACATATAAACCCCTCAGGACCAACATTGAGAGTAGAACTACCAGGAGGGTAAGGGAAAGGTGGAGGGAGAAAGGGGGAAGCAATAACAATGATCTACCTATACCTCCTCCCAGGAGGATGGACAACAGATCAGTGGGTGAATGGAGATATTGGTCAGTGTAAGACATGAAAAGATAAAAATAATGTATAAATTATCAAGGGTTATGAGGGAGGGAAGGCGGGCAGGGAGGGGAAAATGAGAAGCTGATACCAAGGGCTCAAGTAGAAAGGAAATATCTGGAAAATGATGATTGCTCAAATGTCCAAATGTGCTTGACACAATGGGTGGATGGATGGATTGTGATAGGGGTTGTATGAGCCCCCAATAAAATAATTTTTAAAAATTATTCAACTATTCAACCATTTTAAGTGGTAGCATATATGCAAGAACCAACTGTCCTGAAGAAAGAAGTTCAAACAGCACGGAAGGCAATAGTGAAAAACAAGACTCTAGGAACTAATGGCATACCAATTGAAATGTTTCAAAAAACCGATGCAATACTGGAGGCACTGACTAGTCTACAACAAGAAATTTGAAAGATAAGTTACCCAGTCAACCAACTGAAAGATCAATAATTGTCCCCATCAAAGAAATAGAAATATAGAAACAACAAAATATAGAAACTATTAATCCATATCATTAATATCATATTCAAGTAAAATTTTAATTAAGGGCATTCAGAAATTGTTGCAGCACTACATTAATAGGAGATGCTAGAAATTCCACCTGGATTCAGAAGATGACATGGATGAGTGATAACTTTGCCGACATCAAATAGATCTTGGCTAAAATCAGAGAATATCAAAATGTTTACTTTTGTTTTATTGAATTTTGAAAAGACACTTAAATGTGTGGATCATAATACATTAATAGTGGGGGAAAGGGTATTCCAGAACACTTCATTGTGTTTGTGCAGAACTGATACATAGGTCAAGACACAGTCAAAGGAATACCATTTATTTAAAATCAGGAAAGGTGTACACAGGCCTGCATCATTTCACCAAACTTATTCAACAGGTATGCTGAGAAAATAACTAGAGAAGCTGGACTATATGAAGAATTTGGTATCAGGAGTGGAAGAAGCCTTATTAATAGTCTGTGATTTATAGATGACACGACCTTATTTACTGGGGGAAAACAAGGACTTGAGACATTTGCTGGTAAAGATAAAAGATTTCAGCCTTCAATATGCATCACAACTCAATGCAGAATAAACCAAAATCTTCACAACTAGATAAAAAGACAAAATCATGATAAACCAAGAAAAGACTGACATTTTACTCATGATTTCATTTTACTTGGATCTATAATCAATGCTCATGAGAGCAGCCAGCAAGAAATGAAATGATATATTGCATTGGGAAAGTCTAGACTGCACAAGTGCTATGTAAAATGTTAAATAGCTAAGATTTGACATTGATAAGTACTTGTGTCAAACCATGGTATTTTGAATTGCCTCATATGTATGTGAAAGCTGGAAAATTAATACAGAAGATCTCAGAAGACTTGATGAACTGGAATTATGGTGTTAGCAAAGAAAATTGAGAGCATCACGGACTGCAGGAAGAATAAACAAACCTATCTTGGAAGAAGTACAACCAGAAGCCTCTTTAGAAGTGGAGATGGCTAGACTTCATCTCAGGTAGTTTGGATGTGCTGTCAGGAGAGACCAGTCCCTGGAAAAGGTCATTTTACTTGATCATATAGAAAGTCAGGGAAAAAGAGATGGATTGGAACAGTGGCTGCAACAATGGGCTTAAACATAACATAAATTCTGAGGATGGTGCAGGACCAGGTAATGTTTTATTCTGTTGTAATAGAATCACCACGATGACACCTAACCATAAAAAAAATAGTAAGAAAGCACGCTGCTGGGCATGATCTACTTCCTGTGGTCTCAGTGCTGTTTACACTATAGTTTATGTTGTCCATTAGTCCTTTGGACTACATGCTCCCTTGAATACTTGATTTTCTTCACTCTTCCTTGTCAGTTCGGAAGAGAAAAGTAATTGTACCTTGAGGATGCATGTGCTTTTTGACTGAATAGGTTGAAAGAAGGTATTTGGTTTACAGGAAAGTTCATGAGCCACAAAACTTTGGAAAAGATATCAAGAGAGAAAGGACATGAACTAACCATGTTTTTATTTAACAATTACAAGATTTATGTCCAACTATGACAGGATGGTTGTCCAAATGTTCTTAGCTATAAGATGAAAACAAGATAATCACACTTTCTCCTGAGGAAATACACTGCTTTGCAAAGAATGAAAGCGTATTCTGTAACTGAATTTCTAACATAAAATTTGAAAACTATATAAAAGAATAATTTTAAACCTCTTTTTCTTTTACCACCTACAAAAAATTGATTCTAAAATGCTAGTATTTATTCTTTAAAACTTTGAAAAGCATGCTGTTCTTTCATTTAAAAACATACATAAAAAAGTATGAGTTTCGTTAGAATCATAAGTTACCTTTCAAGTCTTTCTTTAATTTTCTAAGATCTTTCTGAAAATCTTCAAACTTCATTTGAGAGGCCTGAAAAAGGTCTTGGGGTTCTGGGAGTGGAAAAACACATTGTTCTTTTCCAGCATCCTAAGTAGTAAAAGATAGGATTTTAAAATAACTCATCTTCAGAACAAATAAGAATAGTGCAACAGCAACAATAGTTTAACAGCATGAAAAAATAACCAGGCAAATCACCACGCCCCCAAATTTTTAAATGACTATGTATAAGAATTCTCTTACCTCATCAAAATTTCGAAGAAAATATGAAACAATATATGACAAAAGACTTCTGCTATTATCCTAGGTAAAAAGAAAAAGGTAAATAAAACACAGATTTTAAAAAATCACTAAATATACACTACTAAATATAATAAATTATAATCAACTCCAACATATACATGATAGTACTGAAGAATTAAATGAAGAATTCAGTATTTCAAACCATCTCATTTTATCGAGTTTAGCCAGATAGATTTTCTGTCCCAGTTAGGGTTTCAACTGAAGTTCCCAGCAGAAGCAAAGTTACTTAAGATTAGAAACTTAATTATAAATGACTTCCTATTTTCACCCTCCTCAATAAGAAGTTTAATTAATTTGTATGTTTTATTTATTTATTTTTTCAATTTTTTAAAATCAATTTATTGGGGCTCATACAATTCATCACAATACAGAGATCGATTGTATAAAACACATCTATACATTTGTTGCCCTCATTATTCCCAAAATTCGCTTGCCTCTTGGGTTCCCGGAATCAGCTTTTTCCTTTTTTTCTCCCTCCCCTTCCCTTCCTCCTCCCCTCTCCCCCATGCACCCTTAATAATTTATAAATTATTATTGTATCTTATATTACACTGTCCGGCGTCTCCCTTCACCCACCCTTCTGCTGCCCATCCCCCAGAGAGGAGGTTATATGTAGCTCCCTGTGATAATTTTTTTTTAAATCATTTTATAGGGGGCTCATACAATTCTTATCACAATCCGTACATACATCGTGTCAAGCACATTTGTACATTTGTCGCCATCATCATTCTCAAAATATTTGCTTTCTACTTGAGCCCTTAATATCAGCTCATTTCCCCCCTCTCTCCCCGAAACCCCCTCCCTCATGAACCCTTCATGATTCATAAATTATGATTATTTTGTCATATCTTACACTGTCCGAGGTCTCCCTTCACCCACTTTTCTGTTGTCCACCCCCCAGGGAGGAGGTTATATGTAGATCCTTGTAATTGGTTCCCCCTTTCTACCCCACCTTCCCTCCAGATATCACCACTCTTACCACTGGTCCTGAATGGGTCATCTGTGCCAGATTCCCCGTGTTTCCAGTTTCTATCTGTACCAATGTACATCCTCTGGTCTAGCCAGATTTGTAAGGTAGAATTGGGAACGTGGGTAGTGGGGGGAGGAAGCATTTAAGAACTGGAGGAAAGTTGTATGTTTCATCGCTGCTACCCTACACCCTGACTGGCTCGTCTCTTCCCCGCAACCCTTCAGTAAGGGGTGTCCAGTTGTCTACAGATGGGCTTTGGGTTGTATGCTTTATTATTAAAAAGCATAACTATTGCCTTAACTAAAATAACTAAATAGCCCTGACATGTATATACCACTGAGTTAAACAGGTTAGTTAGATATTCATTAGTATGCAAATTTAGAAAATTAAAAAATTATTTATCATTTCAAGTAAGTTTTTTAATGTAAATACATAGTATGGATTGTTATGTCAGCAACCAAGATTCAGGAATACACAGGAAGTCATAAGTAATACAATGTGTGAAGTTTTATAGGAAAAAAAAAGTTGTTTAATATCTGTCTTCATTTGGATGTTAGCTTTCCATCATCTTTTTTCTTTATAGAAAAAATATAGAAATATTTATTCAAATAGCAGATACAATCAAGCAGTCAGAATGAATTAACACTACAAAGATACATAAATCTCAAAAATAATGAAGAAAGACAGCTAGAATATAGTGTAATATAGTATATTGATGCTGCAGTGTAATATAGTATAATACTGATGGTATATCGCTCACTCAAAAAACTCACTGCCATCAATTCAATTCTGATTCATTGTGAATTTTCATCATCTTTTGAGGACATTTAGAGGTACTATTTTTCATTGTAGACTTTTTATTGTTTAGAATATACCAAGATAATATAAATATGTGAGAATAAATACATCTATGTTAAAAACAAAGAGATGATATAAGCAATACCAATGGAATGTTCATTCTAATCATAATTGCCCTCATACAAAAAATAAGCATCACCTTTTCATAAATAAAATAAACATAACAATAATATGTCTATTAGAAAATACCCTTATTAGACAAGATTTTCACACAAAAGGATTTTACAACTTGACTTCCTTTTTCTTTTCTAACTTGTAAATTAAAGGATTGACGCAGTAAAAGCATTAATTTACAACATATATATGCAACTATACTACTCATAAGTGTACTGAAAGAATATTGAGAGATCTGAATAAAAGTTCCTTTCTTGGAAGTATACAAATAGTATTTAGGAGTGAAAACTCTCAAAGTTCAGGATTAGGTATAGTTATCTTTGTGTTACAGAGAAGAAACTAAGTTCAGAAAACTTTGCACGTCTCTTCAGTCCTTGCAAGTAAAATAATACACTACTTGCCTATTTTTTGTTGTACTGTGGTGGATGGTATCTTATATGATCCTGGAAGCTATAGTATGGGCATTTCAAATAACAGTAGGGTCATCCTTGGTAAACTGGTGTCAGCGGAGCTTCCACACTAATACAGACCTTCTGAAAAAAATTGGCCTGTGAAAAACATGGATAGTAGCAGAACCTTGTCTGACACAGTACTGGAAAATGACTCCTTGGGTTTGAAGACAGTCAAAATAAAGGTAGGGAAGTGCTGATTCCTCAAAATAAAGTCAACCTTAATGAGACAGACAGAGCAAAGTTTTGCAGACCCTCCTTTGTTGATGAGGCATCACACAAAATGAGAAGAAACAGCTGCAAACATTAATTAGTATTTGGAACATGAAAATTAACAAGTATGAATCAAAGAAACTTGGAAATAAAAAAAAGAAATGTGATGCTTGAATATCTATATCCTAAGTAGGTATTAGTGAGTGAAAATGGTCTGGTGTTGGCTATTTTGAATGAGCTAATCATTTGGTCTACTACAGTGTAAATAACAAATTTAAGAGAAATGGCATGACATTCATCGCCAAATGTAGTATTTCAAGATCTATCCTGAAGTATGGTACTATCAGTGATAGGATAATTATCTATATGTTTAAAAGGAAGGCCAGTTAATACAGCCACTATTCAAAAATATGCACCAATCACTAAAGCCAAAGATTAAGAAATTGGAGAATTATATTGCCTTTTTCAGTTTGAATTGGATCGAATATGTAATCAAGGTGCACTGATAATTACCATTGATTGAAAGGCAAAAATTGGAAGCAAAGAAGGATCAGTGTTGGAAAATAAGGCTTTACTGACAGAAATTATTAGAAATACCTTTTTCCAACAACAAAAATAAGGATTATAAACATGGACCTCACAAGATAGAATATAAATATATCAAATTGACAACATTTAGAAAAAATAATATAGAAAAGCTCAATATCATCAGTCAGAGTAAGCCCATAGACTGACTGTGGAAAAGATTGTCAATTTATCATATGCAAGTTCAAGTTGGAACTGAAGAAAATTAAAATAAACCTACAAGAGTTAATGTAGGACCTTTACAATACTCCCATTAATTTTAGAAACCATTAAAACAATTTGAATCATTGAACACTAATGACTGAAGAATAGATGAGTTATGGGATGACATCAAGACCATCATACATAAAACCAAATGTCACTAAAAGCCTAGAAAGACATAAAATAAAAATAAAAATGGAATGTATGAAGAGATTCTTAAACTTGCTCTTGAAAGTGAAGTAATGACCTGTGAGACATCGGACAGGGCAAGATATGACAAAATAATAATTTATAAATTATCAAGGGCTCATGAGGGAGGGGGGAGCGGGGAGGGAGGGGAAAAATGAGGACCTAATGCCGGGGGCTTAAGTGGAGAGAAAATGTTTTGAGAATGATGAGGGCAATGAATGTACAAATGCGCTTTACACAATTGATGTATGTATGGATTGTGATAAGAGTTGTATGAGCCCCTAATAAAATGAATTAAAAAAAAAGAAGAAGAAAGTGAAGTAACGAAAGTGAATGGAGGAAACCATAATGCATAAGAGTTCAATGAAAGATTTTAAAGGGCAGATTGATGAGACAAAGTATAGCATGATAATGAAAAGTATAAAGACCTGAAGTTAGAAAACCAAAAGGGAAAAACATTCTCAGCATTTCTCAGTTGGCAAAACTGAGGGTACAATCCAAACCTTACCCCTATATACTAAAGGATCCTATATACAAACTATCGCATCAAAGGAAGTTGGAGCGCATATACAGTCAATGCACCAAAAAGAATCGGTCCATTTTCACCATTTCAAGGGGGAGATACATTGATGAAGATCTGATAGGACTGAAGGACAGAGTTGATGCCGCACTGCATCACTGACCAAAACAGTAAGGCTCCGAGAATCAGCAAATATCAATTGAGCTGTTTCGACAAACCAGAGCAATGCTGAAGGCACTCACTGGTCTACAACGGGAAATTTGAAACATACGACTTGACCAACTGTTTAAATGAGCTGTATATATGATCCTCTTTAAAAAAGAAGAAAAAGAAAAAGTAATCCATTGAAAGAAGAAATTAAAAAATAATTGTATATACAAGTTAAATTGTGCTAAAGATAGTTTTTAAACATCTGGGGCAATATGATGACAGGTAAATTCAAGCTGTATTCAGAAAGGATTTGGAACAAGGAATGTCATTATTTATGTCAGATAGATGTTGGCTAAAAGTAGAGATTAACAGAAAAAATGCCAGTGTTTTACTGATTATGGAAAGGCATTCAACTATGCAAGTAATAAAAAAATATGGATAATAATGAAAATCAAGGGATTGCCAAAACACTAATTGTATTTATGTCAAACCTATACATATAACCAGAGGCAGTTGTTGGAACTGTGTAGTTTTAAATCAGGAAAGATATACATCATTACTGTATTTTTAAAATATACTTATTCAATCTATATGCTGAGCAAATCATATGAAAAACTGAATGTGGTATCAGGATTGGAAGGAGCTTCATTAAGAACCTGCAATATCTAAGTGAATTAGGCTCTTAACGAAAACATGCCTGTAACCCAAGAATTTAAGACTGAAACTATGGAGAGTGTGAAGAAACAGAAGA